AAGGTCAGAGTTACTGTAGATGCAGTAGAAAAAGTGGGAATAAAATCTGGTTTACAAAAGTGATGATTGCAGTCCTTATGTCACAGGAAGTTAAGCTTAAGAATACGAGACCAGCTGTACCGGGTCAGGTCAAAGGTTCATACAGACTGGTATTTTTTCTTTGTGAGAGTATAGAAGAGTATCTTTAGGGAAGAGCATAAGAAAAGAGCAAGTATAAATGATTCTTTCATTAGTATTTCCTCCAACTACTTGTAACATAGACTTTCCGTGAAAAAGAAATGGAAAATGGAGTTTCTTGCACCAGAAAAGGATTCCTAGCTGATTTCTCACTGAAGAAAACCTAAAAAATTGTGAATGCTAAAAATAACAGGCTTTGCCTGAAAAGAGGAAGAAGTCTAGCAAAAGGCTTGGGGTCTGTGGATCTGTGGCAGAGGAGGAGCTAGAGCTCTTGAAAAACTGGAGGAAAGGCTGTTCTGCTCATCCTTTGCAAATGTTTTTAAAGTATGGTGTTGTGAAAGTTGATGTTTACCAGCCTTCATTTCTCCTGGGAGCTGTATAGTGGACATAATCTTGTAAGAAGCCAGAGACAGAAATTAAGGAGCTGAAAACAAAATTAGTTCATTGTACTTGGGAATGGCGTGAGCCTTGCATTTTATTTTTTGTTTTTGCATAAGTTCTCTACTCTGTCTCTTATGATGAAGAATGAGTCTTCCCTTTGGCAGGGTTGCAAACTGTAGGTTAGTTATAAATTGTCTTTATATGGAGCAGCCTGAAAGGCATTAGATTATGGATCCATCTATTGCATCTCATCCTTAATGATACGCAGGAGCATATGCTACCCAAGGGAAGTGCAAAAACAGATCAGTAGAATGTTTTGAAAATGCACCTGTGAAGCACTTTTCTGTGTGTGGGTAGAAAGTAGTTTACTTCTAAATACTAATCAAGCGTCTCTTATTTTCCATAATTTTAAGGTTCAGCACAAAAAAATCCCTCTTTCCACTGCTGAAAGAAAATGCATCCAATTTCATTCTTTTATGGTCATTTGGGGAGTCTAATGCCCAATTTCCTTTGGACAAATTCAAAAGAAGCATTAAAATAGTTTTAGACTCTGCTGGTCACAAGTTATTGTTGTGGTACATAAAAGTATCAGAATTCAGTGACTAATGATCTTTAGCTGTCTCTTAGACTGCACCTAAACAACAGTTTTGGATCAGTTGAGAAGCAATTGAGATCACTGTGGTAACTGACAGATGTTATTTATGGTGCTTCATTTGTGAAAACAAAATACATAACAAATGGCTTCATTTTTCAAAGGCTGCTACTGGGAGTTCTTAAGGGTAAAATGGTTTTATGCCAAATTGTGAACTGATTGCTTCTAATCAACCAAATGATGGTAGAACCCTATGAAAAGAACATACGCAATCTATCATGTTTTAGTCTCTTGATAGGCCTTCTAAACGCTACCTTATGCTGGCATGTATCCACACAGGCTTTTAACAGATCCTTAAAACAAATGAAACAACACACTGTACTGTCTAATAGAGCACAGTAGCACGGAATAAGAGTGTTAGTTACTTTAATGTCACTTCCAAATCAGCAGTGCCATTTGGAGCAGAACACTTAATTACAAGATGTTTGTAATTCTTGTCAAGCCAGTTTGTGTGTATCAGATGTAAGTTAGACAGCAAGCTAGACACGTATTACAGAAATAACAAATTGTTGCTATCATGTCATCCTTGATAAGTTTTGTCAATTGACTAGGAATAATCAAACTAGATTTTATGAAAACTCACTATCCAGAGAGCAGTAGGTCTTCATTGTCTACAACTTGGAGAGGATTCCCCCCATGCAGACACTGCAGATTTTGTCACGTTGCAGCATGCATATTCTGGCTTGTATTCAGAAAAGAAAACCAGAAGGCATGTGTTGTGCCACAATTTAGCCTTTTTTATTTGATTTTTTTGTTTTTTTTTAAGCTAAGCTGCCTCCTGTGTCGCTTGGGATACTTCTGAAGATATGTTTTCTGCTGAACTGGAGCTAGAAAGTCAGCTTTTGATCAAGCTTTAGACTTGTAGGATTGAGTTGCAAGTGTGGAAGCCAGTGCTGACCTAATGTGTTTCATCTCCTCTTCTTGATCTGCAGAGACTCCAGCTGAATGATGAGGGAGCCGAGTTGAGCACATCTGCTTTGCAGTGTGCTTGTCTCATACCCTAGTTGCAGCACCCTCTTTTATGTGAATATGAGCTTGAAAGAATTATACCTGTATAAAGACTTTTTAATGAAATGTTTATTTGCTTATCATGTCTATGACACCCTCTTTTCATTTGTTTCTGTTTTAATGTTTGTTAATTGTCTTAAGTTTCAGAATATCTAAATTTGAGTATGACTTCTGATATGTTTTTATTTAAGAACTTCAAGGCTAACATCCAGCCCTGGGCATAAAAACACAACATGTCTACCAAATATAATGTCAGCTTTGTTTGAAGAAGGTACCAAAATATATATGTTGTCTCCTTTGCCAATGAAGTATTGCTGCTATTTTAAGGAGTAGCTCTGGTTTAGGTTGCTTAAACACTTCTGTCTTGAATGAGAAAAAAAAAACAATATTGGACTGTTTATATAAGACCTATAAACACTCTTATTTTGAGGCCGGCAGGTGAAGTCCGAGATAAATAGTACTGTTTTGATATTTGTAGTTCCTAAGAGCACAACTTCGCTGTAAAGACATCAAGCAGGGTTGTTGGGGTGACAAAAATATACTTCTGTCAAAGCAGTGTAACTTAATAACAATGCATACGGATTCCAGAAAGGCATCTTAAGTATTAAAAATATTTGTATGTCTTAATAATTGAGGCAAGTGTTGCCAATTTATTCTGCTGCCAAAAGATTTTTTTTCCAGGCTGCTGTTTTCTGACTGGCAGTTTCTATGTGGGCTGTATGCTGACCAGTAACTTTGCACAAATAGCTGGACTGAACTTATTATTTGAAAGGAACTTGATAAATGAGCTAATGGAGCCTGAAATCCATTCATTAAAGTAGTAGTCTTGTGAGTGATTAATTGGCAACAGTATTTTTTATTGAGTAATCCATTTAATTATCTGGCAGGACACCTAATGAATACTGGGAGTCCTGTCTCCTCAGTCAGCAAGAGTAGTCAGTGATGGTTGCCCACTGAAATGTTGTTTTATATCTCTGCTTTCACTACGTGTGCTTCTTTGCACTTTGTCAAACAAATCCCAAAATTTTAAGGATTACCCACCATATTCATGCTGATGCTGCAAATGGGTACCTCTCAACTGTAGATTTGAAGGGGGACTTTTTCTGAGCTGAGAGTGTTTTTTCTGAAATAGTTTTATGGCTCACACTGAGGAAAAGGTGAAAAGAATGGATTTATGTTTCTGTCTTTGTGAAAGAAGGACCAGTGAACAACAGTGTATGGTATTCTTGTGGTGTATTTCTTGCTCCATGAACGGCTCTGTTCATTAAATAAAATGTTCATTAAATAAAATACATTTTATTTTATGTATTTTATGGTCATAAGGTCATTTCTGGAGGACAGATGGTAACATATCCTTGATAGTAGAAGTTGTAGCCCTTTACCTTCCAAAGGACATGCAAAGTTGTAATTATAATGGAACTACTTATTAACCCAAATTGTAAGTCACGGTCTTATTTTTATGAGTTCCTCAACAAGTAGGCAAGAAATCACTCAATCTATTTTTATTTTTTTAATGGCATTTTGTTGCATGTCTTAAAGACAAATAAAAACACCTTGAGATCATCCACCTTTTATTTTAGCAAACAATCTGTCCGTTTTTTTGCTTGCTTCCAAGGAAGATTTTGCAACACGGATAGGATCAGTTTTGTGCTTCCGTTTCTTTTGTAAAGACTTCCCCAGTACTAATTCAGATCCTTTTGGCATTGTCAATGTGCCTGTCATCAGTTAATTAAGAAAAAAAATCATCTGCATAAATGCTGCACTTGTAGCTCTGCTTTTGGTTATAGGATCTGTAGTGTAGATCATCCATTTCCTGATATCCCTTAAGGTAAATTATGTGGAAATTAAGGAGCAGGAGAGACACTTTTTACATATGTGAAAGTATGGTTAAAAATTTTACTTTTGTGCACAAGTTTCTTCAGTCACTGGCATGCTCAGATGGCCTTAGAGTTGTGGTGTTGAATTCTGCCTGTCCTCCTCCCCTCTTTGCGTACCTTGAAAGCTCTTGCATGGAAAAAGCTCTTAGTAGCAATAAAACAGTTGTGTGGTTTGTTGGTAGCGTTCTGATGATTGTTTTAGCAGCCACAAGAAGTAAAGATCAGGCTGCATTTATATTACCAGAAAAAAAAACAACATTTGAGCAACACAAAATATTTGAAAGCTGGTCTATGGTTTTGAAATAGAAAGAACATTTGTCATGCCATCTGAGCATGGCCAGAATTTTAAACATACCACAAGTGCTGGAAACTGTTCATCAGATGTATGCTCTGGTCCAGTATATTTTTGTTTATACCTGATGGTAAACAATAATGCTTTCTTCTCCTGGACTTCAGTAACAGCTTGGCCTGAAGTATACTTCATTTATAGGTTTGAGAGTGTCTTTGATCAGGCTTTTTCCAGATTCTGCAACAGTTTGGGTCTTATTTTCTCCTTTATTCTAAAAGAAGCAATTAGTCTTACTGAAGACAGGGAAAAAAGGTAGTGGTACTTTCCTGATGAGCAGAAAATTATATAATAGTCCTTTTTTTCATGTATTGGTAGCACTCTAGACTGACAGTATTTTCCCTGGTGCTTGTTTCTTTCCTAAGAATCTGAATTAGCCAAGCATAACTTTGAGACAACTACTATAAGAATTTTGGTAGGAAAGCATTCATTGAAATAAATCTAATTTGGAAGTCCTGCTGTATTTGTTTTTTTTTTATTGCGGGCTATTAGTGAGCACATTGCAATCTTTAAGCTTCAGCCTACAAGCAAGGTTTTATATGATGTGTAGTGTAATAGATAATCTTTATTTTCTTTGTAGGCTATTGCAGAATGACCTTGCATTAAGCGTTTGTGGAAGAAGCAAGATTTAAACATCAATCTTTCAATGTGCATACTTCTATTCAAATTTGACCCCCGACCAGTTTCAAAAAATGCATACAGGTAACAATGGTTATGGTTAAAAACAGAGTTGTTTCTATTTTTTTTATTTATTTATTTTTGTAGCCAAAGTTTGGATTACAAACTCAAGTCAGTATATGTGTTCAGTTATGCTTTTGTGATGTTTAACTTCATGACTTTCTCCATTGGAGGACTTCCTATAACCTTTTGAGAACCCTTTGTTTTTAGACTGTGTCAGAAGACTTGGGCTTTGCACTCATGGACGTGTCAGACATGATGGTGATCTATAATGTCATGTAGGATAGATCCCTTAGGTATTGTAATCCAGAGTCTGAAAGTCTGGCTTTTTACTTTATCTTTTAAACCAAGGGGAATCGGGTGTTTGGGGCATCACAGCTGTAGCTGTACCCTTCTCTGTAGTAGGGTAGATGTGTTTACGACTTTCACTTTGAAACCAGCAATTTGAATTTATCCAATTTGAATTTGGAAGTAATGGTCAGGTAGTAGAGCAGAAGTATTGCATTTATTAACCACTTTGTATTATTTTATCCTCTCTTAATTTGTGGTGGTCAATCTTGTGAGCCAAGAGACAGTACACTATGACACACATGGTCTAGTGTGAGGTGTCCCTCCCCATGGCAGAGAGGTTGAAACTAGGTGATCTTAAGGTCCTTTCTAACCCAAACCATGCTATGATTCCCCCTCCTCCAAATCTGCTTACAACTAAAATTTTATGTTGAAATTTTATTTCAGTAAAATTAATTAAAATTTTAGGTAATTAACTAATAGTCATGTGTATGAAACATTTAGCCAAAAGCTTAAAACAAAAATAAGCATCCATGCTTCTAGGTGAGTTTTACTGGATGTGTTCATATAATACAGTGAGTTTCCCAAACTAATTAAAGTGCCTGTAATAATTTTTTCTCATTACAGTCCTCAATTTTGAAAGTTCATATCCAACATCAGTATCTTTGAGTACATGTAATATCACTTAAGGCCAGTAAGAAGACTGTAGCATTCTACTGCTTTCTGTATTTATACATACTGTATAGGTTCCATGTTGCTTTGTGGGAAATAAGTATTGGCATTCATCCAGAAACTGTCAGAGTCAGTATGTGCAGGAGATCATTGTGCTTTTCATTGACTTGTTTTTCTACCCTTTTGTATTGAAAAGCAGATGCCATTCTATAGAAAGAAAAGAAATGAGAGCCAAAACTTCAGTTGTCCATGGAGCGCATTCCTTTCTGTATCTGGAATCTTGTTTAAAAAGGTTTTATTTATGATATGACTAGTGCTGAATTAATATATCCATTTATTTGGTCTGACTTACTTTCTGTTGCTAGTTAGCAAAAGACAGATTCATCAGTTTGATGCTTCTTGGGATGATACTTTGTATGTAAACTGTAGTTGTTTGCCAAGTGAACTTTCTGCCATGATCAATATTCAGAAGTAAAACTTACAGTAGTTTGCTTGCTATGAAAAATTGCATAAAGATTGAAATTATTGATTTATAGCAGAAAAGAACCTGTTATCAGTGGCAAAACAGGAGAATACTTTTGAGATGTTTTGACTGAAATTCGGGAATATTTAACTATATTTAACATTCTCAATACCCTCTAAGTTATGTCTTGCTCTATACCTCAGAGGCAAATTAACTCTGAGCTATCTGTTTTGGTGGTAAGTGCCAGGCCATAGTGTTTTAGTGTCCGATTTTAATATCAGATGTGTAACTTTAGTTTGCTTTTTTTTCATTAACATACCATAACTAAATCTTTCTGCTTTTCTTTATTCAATAGTTCTTTCTTAAATTGTTCCTAAGGCTTTTTCACCCTCGCCTCTGCTTTCTGAAGGACATTGGTTTGAATATCAGTTTGGAATAGCACCCAGCTTTCCTAATTCTGTGAACAATATTACAGCCATTAGACCAATTTAGACCTGTTTATAATAGTCTCTTGCTAAGTATAATTTTTCCTGACAACTCGTGTGTTGCATTGTGCTATAGCTCTGTTTATTTCACTGTTTGGTCCTGGAACAGTTTTCCAAAACAAAAGGGCATTCCTGTACCTGCAGGCATACCAATTTGTCTGTTCACATTAAAACAGGCATCTACAACTACTTTTCTTCCTTTCTTCTACTTTGCATCTCTAATGAAAAGAAAGTGTCTAAAATAGACATTAAAAGTTTGAAAGACAAACTGCGTATCATTTGTCATTTTCTTGTAGCCAGTAAACTTTCTCAAGCTAAGACATGCTCTCCATAGCACTTAAGAGAATTTTTCATCCAGGTAGACTTTGAGTTCTAGAACAGTACATTGGCCAATTTCCATAAGCACCTAATTAAGCAAAAAGCTTAGAGTTCACCTTTGTGATACGCTAATGAATCTCTTTTCCTGTACCCTTGCAACTTGCTCCTTTTTCCTCTGTCTTCTCTCTACAGGCCTATTTGTAGTAAAGTTTAGTGCGGTGTAACAGGCACTTTATTGTAGCCTGCTATTATTGTCAAAGGTAACAAGCTGCCTTTACATCTTTGTGAACTATACTGTGTGCGCCTTACAAATAAATACATATTTCAAGCTTCAAAGCTATAATCAGAGTCTCTTTTATGGAACTGAATTACATTGTAGGAAATTGCTTTAATGGAATGATTTTTTATGTTTTCATCTCTGCCTCAACATTAAAATAAATCCTAATACGTAAATCCTAATGCAGTTGAATTATTTTAGTTATAAAAATAGCTCAATAGGCTTTTTGCAATTTATTAGAAGATGAGGGTCACTTAATATTGCTCTCTTACAGCGTGATTATGTTTCATAAAAGACAAAATGAAGCTATTTTGATTATAGCTGTCCTGTATATGAGCTTTGGGCTGAACTTAGGAGCCTGTGTATTAAACTTGAGATGCAGAATATTCAGTCACATCAGAAAAACTTCGCTTATTTTTGGTATTTAGATAGTATAAACAAACTGTGGTTTCCTGTTGAGAATTATTGAAGGCAAAATGTAATTGGAGCCTCAGGAAATGAGAAATGTACTTCAACCAAACTAGTTTTTAACAGTAGAGGTGCTAATTTAAAAAAAAATCTGTAAAAGGAAGATGCCTGCTATAAATGAGGAAATTCAAGCAAGATGACGGATTTGGTAAACCAGCTGAAAGCCGATAGAATAAAGACTAGAATCAGCTAGAAGGAGAAAAATAATGCAAGTCTGAAAGGAACAATGTTATGAGTATTTGGCATTGAAAAGATAAAAATGTACATATGCTGTGCTTTCCAACAGATGCTATCTTTGTTGGGCAAGATACAAAGCATCTTTCTTACAGAAGGGATGCCGTTGAAGTATTAGTCTAATTATAATTCTTCATCTGTGTTTCTAATGTGCAACTGGCACCTCATGATTGTGTTTTAAAACATTGTATTGATGAAGAGATGAATTTTCAGGGAAGTCCAGAAACCTGCAGAAAATGTCAGTACATTTGAATGCTGAGTGAAGTAATGAGACTTCATGAAAATTGATTCTGGTGGTGTGGCTTAAAAATTAGAATGCAAATTGTATGGTCTAGCTTCACTTTACAGTAGTAAACTTGGCTTCTGCTGTGTGAATGTAATTGACATGCAGCTGGTAGGAGCAACTGACAGTGAAGAAGATACTGAGGTTATAGGAATTGGTTAAGAAAATCTGCAGGTTTCTGAAAGGCGACATTTCATTAAAATTAAATATTAAGCAACATAGCTGGAGAGAATGAGGAGAGCTCACAATCTTGCAATTGAAATAAAGGTGAGTCATGTTATGGGTAATAATGAGCAGGACTTTGGAAGCACTGGCTGTTGGATCATGGCATGGTGTAGTGGAGCTGTCCACAAGCAAGTCCGCAGTCACCTGTTGCCCTGAGTCTCCAGCACATGGCTTGCCTAAGGTTACAGTTGTCTTCTGCCCTTTACTTGGATCAGCCAAATCCTTTACCTTTCACTTTTTTCCTTTTTTTTTTTTTCTAATTTTAATTAAAAAAAAAAAAATTGAAAAAAGACGGATGGAGGAGCAGCATCAAATAAAAGCTCATCTGCAGGTTTGCAAACAGCAGTCTGAAGGCTGATTCTCAGCATAGAAACCCAGTAACCCATGTAGCTCAAGCTTTTATTTGGATACCCTATATCTATTTGATGTTGCAGTAAGTCATTAAGTTTAGTTTCTGACTGTCTTCCATTGCTTTTGAATAACAGAAAATGCGAACTTTCAAAAGATAGATGAGCACAGTCAGATTAGCCTACGTTTTATTTCTAGTCTTCCAGTGCTAACACTGTTAATGAATTTCATTAGGGCTGCAGCTCTGAGAGGATCACAAATTTCTCTCTGTAATGGGTACTTACAGAAAAAAGCATCTGACTTGTATCTTTGAATTACATAAATAGAACTTTAGGTGTTAAAGTTAGGTTAAAAAATACTGTGACTGCATGATCCTAAGTAATGATCCAGTAAAAAGATACACTCAGATTATTTTTTAATACAAATTACCTATAAATCTGTGGGTTACCTTTAAGTTTTCCTTAATTAAGCTGTAACTTCACGTGCTGAGGAATTGAATAAGCAATCTTTATTCAGTCTCTTGTGTTGTATGTATTATTCTTTGAAAATCATAGCTGTCTCATTCTCACAAGATAGACTTGCTGACTGTCTCAAGATGATGAGAGAGAAGGCTGCTGTCAGAAGTCATTTGACCTTTACACTGAATGATAAAAGTGAGATGTGAGGATAAAGGATGGTTTCATACTTAAGATGAGTTTATGCTGTGGCAGGAATTGGATTTTGTTCCTGCCGGCACTGTGACATTCCTATTTGTAAGTAATAGTATCTCTTTCCTCTTGTGTTCTACAGGCTTATTCTAGCAGCTAATAGAGATGAATTTTACCACAGACCATCCAAATCTGCAGAGTTTTGGGACAGCAGCAATGAGATCCTTAGTGGTATGTATGTCTTTTATGGAAACCACTTGAACCAACAATTTATAAGGGAATTATGGCCTAGATTTTTTGGGCTTGGGGTGGTAGTGTTACATTTCTAATAAGAAATACACTTCTTCGCTATACTTCTGGGGAAAACATCGTAACTTTGAAAGACGAGTTGTGCTACTATTATCTTATTTGTGGTTTTATATCTTGTAGGGGCTTTCCAGTTTTACATTCTTTAACTGATTGCAATATGAGCAGTGCAGTGGAAATACCTCAGATTAATTTGTCCATCAGGAGCTATTAGCTTAGTTTTGTCAAATATACTGAAATACATCTTAAAATAGGTGGAATTAGTTATTCCACAGGTTCAGTGTCTGTAATAGTGACTCAAAATCATTAAACCAAGCCTCAAGAAAGTGAAAACTTCCTCATTTCATATTGGTTAATAATTTATAGTCTTCAGAATAATTTTAGTTATTGATCCATCAGTTTATTAATTTTGGTGTCTACATTTTGCTAGAGTGATAGTACAGTCATTCAGCTGTCTGGTTCCCCTTTGTAGGGAATCAAGCTGTAGTAATTTTTAAGTATAATCAATACTTCTGCCTTTTCTCAGAAACAGAAATGAAGCTGTGGAAGGCAAAGCATTGCTTAAATGCCAGGTTTTGACTTTGCAAATACTCTTTGTTGATGTTAGGTGTTATTGTCATTGGCAGGGAGACCCGAGAGGATAAATTACTCCCACTGCACTACGACTCCTTTGCTTCTGATGTTCTGGCTGATGTTTGTTTTGTGCCAGACATTCTGGATGCTGCTTCCCCTGCTATGTAGCAGTTTAAAACAAAAAGCTATCCTGAAATTGAAGGGTCCTGAATTTTTGTCTTTTGTACCCTTGTCAGGTCTCTCTGTATTTGGCATGAGAAACTGGTATATTCTCCATGCAGGGGGAGTGTCTGTGGAGATCCCACGAATACATGGGGTATAACTGCCTTTGAGTTAATAATGTTATCTCAAATAAAAGCAGCAAGTTGGAGCAAAATAAATCAAATTTCTTCTTTGTGTGACTTAAAAATGGAAAGAATATTTTGCACTTAACAGCTGTTTCAGAAAAGAGGAATATGTAATCACTGGGCATTGATCAACAGAGCTTTATGGTTTCCTTTTGTGTGCTTTTCAGTTAAGGCAGAGAAACAGTACTAAAAGTATTGTGTAAAGATGTGATATGGCTGAACTTGATATTGAAGTTTTGGATGCTGAGGAAATGAAGGAGTTTCTGAATAAGTATCCAGAACCTGTTCTTTTGATCTTCAAATGATGATTCAGGATTTAAAAGGTTTCTGAGAGTGTACTTAATATATTGAACTAGTTCTTGCTTTTCCAGTAAATGCTTTCTGGTTAACATGAGCTCATTACAAACAGGTACTGGTTTGATTGGTTGGGTTTTTTTTAACTTGTACTCTCTTTCAGGAGTTTGTTGTGGTCTACACTTCTGTGGGTCCCCCTTCTCAATGTAAATTACTGTTACCAGAGTCCAAGATTTTTATCAGTTTCTAAGCTAACTCTACGTTTTTCTGTTTATGTGTGAATTTAAACTTTCAGATCACATAAATCTTCTGAGATTTGCTTTTGAGCTAAGAAGCATTCTGAGCCTGAGTTTTATATGTAGTTTAGTGTATAGGCAAAGCTTATAATTTTGCCTTTACATTTAATTTTCGCATTCTATCTCATGAGTTATTGCAGTAACTTGGTAAATGTTTGATTGTGCGGAATTAGAGGATGGACAATTTAAGAGGGCTGACCTCGCTTGTCGAGAAAGACAGTCTTGGACCTCCTGCATTTTATCAAGCCTGATCAAGACTCAGGATTTGCATTAGGAAATTATGATTTAAGCTTGAGATATTTTTTTGTTTGTTTGTTTGTAATTTAATGTAATAGCCTAACTCTTACTTATTTCATTAGGTCTGGATATGGAGGAAGGAAAAGAAGGTGGGACGTGGCTGGGAATAAGTAAGAAAGGCAAGCTGGCAGCCCTGACAAACTACATGCAGCCAAAGACTGATCAAAATGCAAAAGGAAGAGGTATGAAGGAGCAGAAATAGAAAAAGAAGGAAGTGGACAGACAAGACCTAGTGTCCCAGAAAAATAGTGATGATTACAGTATAAATTTTTTTAACATGACTTTATGGACAAATAAAATGGTTATTGTGCTATAAACAGAATCTGTGAATGGATGAGTTTGAATACCTGTGTGGTATTCAAAGCTTGACTTGGATAATGATACCTTAATCAAGCAGGCAAAATTAAAACAAGATGTAGTGCCTAGAGCCTGAAGTTACATTCAAACAAGAACTGCAGCACCAACTGTCTTCTCTTGAAAGTAATTCTAATTAACAGTCAGAACAACTAGACAAGCATTGAGCTACATTTACATTACACTTTTTTAGATGTTATGTTGTTCAAACACCCAAGTCAGGGAAACAATGCAACTTGGATTATGCTGGAGGTTAGCTTGAGATTACTCTAGTCCCTTCTCCCTTACACATTGATAAATTGGTGGAGCAGAAATAAAAATAAACCATCCTCTGAAAGGGAATGTCTGCAGGGGTTTTCTAAAATAAAAATAGGTCTGTTTGTCATATGGTACTGTGTTGGGAATATATTACAATGGCAAAACATGTAACACAAATGAAAGAGAGAAACAAATGAACCCTGTCATTTTGTATTTCATTTTAGGGTCATGTATGGGGGAAATGAAGCAAGACAAGAAAGAGTTTGGCAGGGTGGAAGGAGAGGAAAGGCCCATGCAGCATAGAATAGTTAGTAAATATGAATTCTGTAGAAATTTTGACCAAGAGCTTTTGGCTGAATTCTTCAAAGTAGAAGTCAAGCTCTTAATGTGAATATGATACAATGCTGTAAGACTTCTAAAGGCTGGTTGTTTGGTTTGTTGTGGGGTTTTGGTAGGTGCTTTTTTCCCCACTGTTTTACCCTGCTGGTAACAGGAATCTTGTGTCTTACTGCTTGTTATACCAAGTCTGTCGGAATAGTGAGTTCATGCATATAAGTTGCTCTGTGTACTTCCCTTAGGTGCTCTTGTGACAAACTTCTTGACTGGAGATCTGGACAGCTACACTTACTTGAAGAAAGTCTCAGTAGAAGGACATCTTTACAATGGATTTAATTTATTAGCAGCTGACTTCAAGTAAGTCTATAAAATGTGACAGGTCAAATGTCAAAGGGAGAAAGATAACAGCAGTGACTTTCTTAGTACAGAGGTATAACAGTACAGAAACCCATCACAGACTAATGCTAGAACTCTTCTTTTTTTGCTAATTGGTGTGTAATGTCCTAATGTTACTCTGCTCATAATTCTTTTTTATATTTTCATCTTTCAAACACTGGAGGCTATCTTTTATTCTATTCATTGCTTCCCTCAAAACTTCTTGTGACTGCCTAATAGGCCATAGTCAGTCTTTACCCTGAAGGCTGTGTGGCTTGTGTCTTGGAGAAAACAAAACCCTGGCTACGTAATTTCTGATTTCTTTTTTTTCCTTTGAGAGGTTGCATGCTCTGCAGCAGGATTAGAAGAGCTGAAAGCTTTCAAGCCATTATTCCTGTCAAGTGGCTGTATCACTAATCATTGCTGAAACATTAAAAAGAATCAGCATATAACAAATATGTTAACTTCTTCAAGTTGCTGTAGCTGAAGAAAGGACCTTAGATACTTTATTATAGTCAATATGGCTAGCACAGTGCTTTCCACTGCACATGCATGTGTGTGCTCACAAATACATATGCTGATTTTTCTTTGTATTATGCCTGATTCAGAAGAATGGAAATCCAGGACTAAAGTCATCTCCAGGCTATATATCAATGCTCAGTTGGATGCACACTTCATGACCATAAGCAGGTATAAATTGTGAAGAGCACACTAATGCTTTGATACACTTTCTGCAGAAGCATTTATCTTGGTAGACACCCTGACGGTGCAGGGCCTTCACCTGTTCACCTTTTCTGCATGCTTCTGGGAAACCACATATGCTTAAAGCAGAAGGGCACAGTGTTTGCTGTTTTCAGTGAAAATAATTTCTAGGACCCAATCACTGACTGGCCTGTGTTTACATTTTTCACTTTCTGTATTAGACCACCTTCAGCTGGTGGCTCAAAATTCCCAGTTATTTCATCATCTTTTCACTCCCACTTTCCTGCAAGTGTGTCTTTTTTTTAAGGAAGTCCTTTATTTCAAATTCTGCCAGGCTGTTCATTTTCATTTTTTTAATTTGCTATGTTATGATGGGAAAGTGCAACTCTTGTAGGTGATCAGAGTCTAAAAGGATGAATACAGAAAGGCAAGTATATGTGACCTCTGAAGGCACCAGGAGTGCCTGCTTAGAGGTAAACATATGTTATGTTTCCAGAAGTTTAATCCAGAAGCAGGTTAGGCAACACAGGGTTTGCTGCTTTTATGTTGTTTTCACTCTCTTTTTTATGAAGTTCATTATCCCACCAGATACTTCTCAGTATTTTTCTATTGCCTCGGCCAGAGGGTTTGACTCTGTGCTCTCTGTTGCATGTTGCTACCTGGCTAGCCTTCCAAAGCTGGAAGGCTATCTATAACTGAAAAGATAACAGAAGAAATAATCTAAATATATTTTCAAGCAAACTTGATATTCATAGCAAGCAGTAAGTAAATCTGAGTTTCTTTGTTCTAATATAGGTAAATAGAATAGTCATAATGGCTGCTAGTATAATGTATTAAAATAGATTAAATGGACATTATTTGTTAAGACAATCATTCATATGTTGCTTCTGTTTGTTTATTCCTCCATGCAGGGCTGATAAGGGATTGCATGCTCAACCGAATAGTCTTTCTGTGGTGATGCAGGTCATAATTCCTTGCTGAGTATTACTCTGAAAGTTGTATGTGTTGATTAACTTCTCCATTTTGACACATCCTTAGCTTTGGATACTCTGATGAAATGAAATTCTTGCCAAGCTAATGATGCAGAGCAATTCTATAAGAGATGTAAACTTGTCATTTTAGGAAATTAGAAGTACTCCTGTGAGAAATATAAATGGAAGCTACACTCTGTGTAAATAGAAAATGTTATTGTGGTGAATGCTAATTTGTTGAACCATGTTGCTGTTCAAAGTGAAGATTGAAGACTGCTTTTAACATGTATTAACAAATAGTGATTGGCTCTGTTAGAGTGGTGGAAAATGGAGAGGAAACTCAAATTGAAAGCGTAAATGAAGCACTGTTGGGGAGGAGTATATCTTAGCACATGATACTGATGGCTGTAAGCAGCACATTGAGATTTACAATGTTTGTGTTTTCAGGTAAACATTTCAGGAAAAGAAGTTTGTCTCTTCTCTCTGTTATGATGATGACAATGTGCTAAGTGATACAGGTGCAATGATGTGAGGAGTGCTGAAAATGACCATATGGGTTGTAAAATCGCGTTTATTTCCAGTTTGGTGTGACTTATTTTAAATGTGCATGGGTTTTGGCACTTTTAGTGTGATCTGTTTGCTCTGTGATATCTCCTGATGTCAATTTTAATGCTATTCATTTCTGGTTTTAATAAGAACACTGTATTGATAAAAATGCTCAGTACTTTTCTCATCTTTTCAGTGTATCATCTGGCTATACCTGCTGAGTATAAGTCATGAATACTTATTGCATTATTTTAAATGTACTTTTATGTTGAATGTCTGGCATATGGCAAACTCTGTTTGAAGTCTTGTGTGGCTGCAAAATTAGCTTTTAAGAGGGCAGGCTCACTACTCCTTCAATTCTGACTGTCAGTTGGTCTGATTAGAGAGGAACAAATTCATCAGAGGCTGGACTGGTCTCTTAAAAAATGTCTGCTTAAGATTCAGAGCAGTTTTCTTTCTTCTTTTGTGATAATATCTGAAATAATAGTGAGCTGGTTTTGTCAATGATTGGGAAAGCATTTCTCTTGGGGAAACCTGTGTTTATGTCCAAGAAATCTAGTTGCTACAGTTGTTCAGACTTTCCTGGGTGTCTCAATACTTGTATTAAGGCTGTTGTGGCAGCATCTCACTTGTATTCCATATGGCCAAGTATGTGATACAAACTGCCCTGAAGGACAAACTGAAGTGGCAGCTTCTTGTCACTCTCCCAGCAAGTTTAGGGTCTCTGACAAGTTGCCAGTGAGAGCCCATATTGTTTATGTGCAAGAATATCCCTGTGTAATAGGAGTGAATCACTTTCTCCATGAGGACTGGATGAATTGTCCCTAACAAAAACAAGTGGGAGGAGATGCAGAAAATGGTCTTTCATTTAAGCTTTTCTGCTCTCCCCTGTGACTGGCAGTTTTCAACCCCTCCAGGGGAAATGTAGTAAACTATATGATCATCTGCACTGACTAATTTGGTAATGTATTGAAAATGGAGATTACATACTAGAACTTATTCTTCATGTTCTGATCTGGAGAGTGAAGTTTGGCTAATAATAGGTTTTAGGACTGAGTTCCAGTTGAAACTGCAGATCCCCCAAGACAGTGGGGTTGGGTTGTATATATGGGTAAGGAATAGATGCATGAATATACAATATGTAACACATGTTTTAAAGTGTTTATATTTAAATACCATGAGACACTATATACATTTTTTTCCTTTTTTAATATGGAAATCTACAGTAGGCTAGTGATGTAGCAGCATCGAGATAAAACCAAGCTGAAGAAAGTGTTTTGGGATTAAATGAATGGTTTGTAGTGTAGGGCCTTCTAAGATTAAAACAGCTGAACAGTGCAACCAGGTTTTGGAAACAGGGTCTCTCTTACTCAGTTTGATTATCAGTACGAGGCCGTGTAGGAGGGATTTGATTGCTCTGCAGAGATTAGGATCCTTACCAGTGCAAAGTGAGATAGGGTCAGGCTGCTGGTGTGGAAAGAATGTAGATGGGCAAGTCGTTGTGTGCTCTGTAAGCTCACTTAAGTTTCTTCTCATGCATTGTCTGTCCTAATACCAACTTCTGTGGTACATCAGTCTTGCTGCTTGTGACTTCCTCATGCAAATGAGGTGTCCAGGTACTTCTCTAATGTGCTCTGTACTACCACCTTTGAAATATTACTGCATAGATCCTCAGTCATTTGCAAGTCTAATGAGATGGACAGTCCAATGTCAAGAGAAGGAAAAAAAAAAACTTCTGAGAAACTTCTTTATTTCTTCCCTCTGGTGTCAGCTTCTGCCTGGCTCAAAAAATTAGGACAACACCAAAGAAATGTTTAGATGCTAAGAACAAAATAAGAGTACTGCTTCAAAGCAGGCTTTGTCCGCTGTGAGTATCCAGCAGTATTCTTTTCACCATTTTATTTGATGGTAGGAGAAATAGCTACAAAAATGTTTGGGCTTTATAGTTGGTAGTTTGGTGTTTGCTTGTTTGTTTTCAGCTTCAGAACAGAAGGAGTTTTCTGTTATCTCGTGAACATTGAAGAGAGGAGAGTATGTGAGCCGTACTGCTCAGTTGAAACTACTGATTGTCATTTCAAGCTGCCAATTTCGTCTTTTGTCCTTGCACAAAAAATACATGCACACATTATTTATTAAACAATACAATGTCTCTCAAATACTCTCCCTGTTAGAAGATCAGAGCTCAGTGCCCAGTGGAATGATCCCTTGGTGATAACCACACCCTGTGGAGCTTTGTGCTTCATTCCTTTTCTTCTTTTCCTGTCTATATTTTTGGTGAACGTAACTCAGCCACCTTGAAGTTGAAGCAGGGCATTGGTGCAGAAGGACATTGCTTATATTTCATCTGCATTAGGAAGTAATTGTGTCAAGCACTGTGTGGCTTCCATGTTGCTGTGAGGAATCCGTTACTACTGACATTTATACTCCTTAGAATATTTCCTAGAACTTTTATTATTGCTTTTCTTTTGACAGAATTATGTATTTAGGAGCATAATTTTTATGTAGTTTTAGTTTTTTCTCTTTCTGCTGTCAGCTATGATTGGGAATTTAAAAAATTAAAGTCTGGGTCCTGTTGTCATCACTTTAATTATGCCTTTACTCCTTCTTCAGTGAATTCGGGTACCTATACATGTGAAGCTGGGAGGAAAGGGAGTCTGAGCCCAGGAAAGGATTTTGAGGCTATCGCTGTGATCAAGCTTCAGTAATTTTTTTCTCACCTTGGCTTCTGCCTTGATGTTGAGTACTGAGTATCTGTAAACAGTAGGAAGAGAGAAGGTGGAGCCAAATGCTAAAAGAAAGAGTAGCTGACTGGCACAGTGAACCGAATTTTGGAAGTATCTTCATTTCAGAAGTCTCTTGGAAAGCTTTAGTCTTTTGACAGAAGACAGCAGCGGTGTTGCAGTAGAGGTAAGTTAGAGGTAATAGAAAATACACATCTGGAGGAATGTGGAATGTAGAAAAAATAAGTTGCAGATGTCCTGAATTAGAGACCCTGCAGTTGATACGCCTTTCCCATCTTTTTGTTCAACTCCAGGCGAGCTTGTTAGTGAATTTGTCAGTCACAAGAATCACAGCACAGGTGCTAGGTAATACTCTTTAACATAAAAAGCAGTTGCTAAAGGAAGTCAGTAGTGCCTACTTGTTCTGCATGCAGTCTTGTTTATGACAGAACTTGTCTAATATCTGTGTTCAGGGGCTTCCTTGGGCTATTTGTCCAGATCTATACCTAAAACTCCATCTTTTCAGACCTCAGGTGATAACAGTTGCTTTGATCTTTTCTCTTTGTAGACAACCTACAACAAATACAGCTTTGACAATTTGAAAAGATAATATTTAATGCACCAATAAAATAGTCTGTGTAATTACTGGTGTATTAACTGAAAAAAAAGACCTTAATTTTGCTTTATTTGTTTAAATAGATTACAAGTATTTTATTCTAATTGCTACTTTACTTGCACATTGCTTTTTCTTTGTCCCTGTTTATGGAAAGCGCAGTGTCCCATTGTATGCTGAGTATAAAACTTCTTGTGTCTTAGCATGTGACTAGGACCAAGAAGTCAGACTAATCTATTGATGATGGCTTAGCTCTATACTGTCCTTTTTAGCTGTCAGGGGATTCAATCCTTTGAACTGTTGATCCTTTGAACTCCATTCTCTTTTTGTTCCTGTGAGGTCCCAGGCATCTCAGGTATGTAGCTTAGTATTTGCAGCCAAATAAAGTATGGCTTAATTTCTTTGCCTATCTAAAGGTTTCTTTCCTTCTCCTTGAAGAACTGACAGGATCCAGTGAAGGGAAGAGTGTATGGGAGTCTTATATTTGAAATTTTAAACAATTTGTAATAACCTCCATCTACCTTAAAGGCAAAATATCTTGGTTGTATAACTGAAGGAGCTAGGAATATGAAAAAGAGTCAAAGACTTCTTATTGCCTGTGGCATGACTATAAAAATGGTTTTAGAAATGTAAGTTTTGCTCATTTTTCTCATACAGATATTTCTGCAGACAAGTCTACTGGCAAAATGTTTGCTGAACCAGCTTAATGGGTGAATATTTCATTAGAATTTCCCCACTCTTACAGTAATTTATTTCTAATACTTAAGCTTATTCAACAAAGAAAACGTTACCCATCTGGTGAAAACAGCTGTTGTTCTGATTGCTGGCTTTACTGGCTCAAGAACAAACTATACCTTTTATTCTATGTAAATTTTAATACAGAACTTGTTTGTATCTGAAGGAGTCTCAAGAAATAGAAGGGAAGTTCAGGTTGTTCCTCACCGAGTTCTTTTTCAGTTCCACCTGTACTTTTCAGCATCGCTTTCTCATACTCATTAAAATGCTGTATTTCTCTGCCTTAGAGTGTTTAAAGGTCATGATTTAAAAACCCCTTTTGTCTCTAATTAAGAAAATACAGCACTTTTAACAGATTCCATAAATGGGTTGCATACAGAAGTTAATATGCGATAGTGGGACAGAAATTTGCTTCTCGAGACATTAAGGAAAGGAAATTGTGGTCCTATCTTGTGTTTCCCTTCTATTTTGTTTCAGCAACTTTTGTTATGGACTATCTAGGTATTCCCAATGCAAATACTCCAAATGGGGTGAAGAAACAAACGGTTTGCACTAATATACTTTTATTGATGGATAAGAATATTTTACTGAATCACAGATAATGTATTTCCATGAGAGCTCTACCAGAGACTAGGAGAAAACTTTAGAGAATAAGAATTAGGGGTAGAATAGGAAAGGAACAATTGGTATTCAGTGCCCTGATGAAATTAAAGCATGATTTTGATTTGAGCAGTCGTCTGTGGAGAGTTGAGGTGGTCAATGAAGAGTCTTGAGATCAGCATAAGGTAAATGTGAACAAGGATCTTAATATTGAAAATAAAAACAAAGATGAGGAAAATAAATGTCTTTTAAGCCACTAGAGGAAAGTTCAGAAAATGCCACATCTCTTTTAACAAGTAGGTAAATTGTAAATTGACTAACTGGGAGCTTTTCATGATATTTAACAATAGAAGCAACAAAACACAAATACCACCTGCTATAATTACTGTCTTTGAACTATGCTGGAACACTTGGACGTATTTCTGTAAGGCACCAGGAAAGTATCAAGTCTGCAGGAGGGACAGAGTACTGCACAGAGGAGGAAAGACGGTTTTATTTTTACTTTATGTGGGGGTTTTTTGTATTCCTCCTCTTGCCTCTTCTGACTTGTATAATTAAGTTAAATTTCCCTCTTCATTTGGCTGTCTTGCAGAGGATTCTATGGAACATCTTTCAGAATAGCTTTTTATGAAGAATATAAACAGCTAAATCAAGGCTGTTTTGCTTGTTGTTAAGGTTTGAGTAGTAGATGCTAAACTTATACAGAGCAATTGAACTTCTAGTACATTGTTAATGAGATTGCATTCTATATACTCTTATTTGCATTGGGGCACAGCTATGTGGTTTTATCTTAAGAAAAAAATGAGCTGGAAATGGCTTCTCTACTGTATTATGTTTTATGCTATTCAATCCAAATTCAATCTTAACTGCAAGTTTTGTGTTTGGGATTTGGGGCTGTTTTTTGTATGTTTTTCATTTAGAAAGTCTGTCTGCTCTCTAAGGAGCTAGAGCTTGATGGACATTAAAAGCTGAACTATAATCAGAGTGTAAGTAACTTGAATAGGACACTTTTCCACTGTGAACAAGTAAATCACTAGAGGGAAATATAATATTATATAGTTTCATGGCTGTGTCCTGGCAAATTTATTTAAAAACCCCACCAACTGGTAGCAATCTGCAGAATCACTGTTTCATGTCAGCTGATGGGATTGAGGGATGCTGAGAGTGAGCCATCTAATGGCAATCCATTTCCCATGCTCCATTTCCCACAAGCACACAAAGCTTATTGACTTTCTTGTTGTTTTTTTTTGTGTCTTATTAGTTGGTTTGGTATTTGTGTTGTCAATATCAGTACAACAGCTTAAAAATCTATGCAATTCAGATATGCTGATTTCACCTCTGCCAAGTGAGAGTTACTTCCAGTGTTGGAAGCTGGTTTTGAATGTCATGTGAGGTCCTCTGCTCTGTTAAAACTGGGCACAAGAGAGTGGCTGCTGAAACAGGTACCTGCAATTAGAAAGGGGGTTTCAAAACAGTGAAATTATCTCACAACAGCCTGAAAATGCATATCTGTCACTTCAAGGACCCAGACATGCCCTATGACACTGCTGTAAGTGGGCTTCAAAATGTGCTTCTGTCAGATAAAATGGCCCAGAGTAGTCAGCCTCTTAAAATGTGGTAATGATTCAGTAGAGATGATAGGGAAAAAGTTACTTGCTGTGATGCCATCCTTTCGTTTTAACATGCCTCCTTTCCTTAAGTAACTAAATCGTCAGTTATTCAAAACCATCCAGGTTATTGTCATTAGGCTAGGCTACTTTCCATGCAGCAGTTCTGGGATTTTACTGAATTTTATTATAGTTATGATTAAATATAATAATGTAATCTTTGACAGTGATACAGGTAATACAGTGTTTTGTGAGGAGGAGAGTAATACAACTCGTCAATCTCAGGCCTGTGGTATCATAGGAGTAGCAGTGGGAGAAGCATCTTGCTGTGTTTGACAATTGCATTAAATTAGAGCATAATCAAACATAGAAGCTGATGTTTTTTTCAAGGAGAAATTCTTATTTATATTTTTCAGTACCACCAAAGGAGATGTAATTTGCTACTATGGAAACAAAGGAGAACCAGAACCTGTTTTCCTAAATGCTGGTAGGTTTTCTTCAGAAAAGTCTGAATATTACCTTTTGTTATTTTAAAGGAATCAGAATGGAGCTGTATTGCTCTAGTAACCCAGCTGCTTAAGCACTTTCTTCACTAACTTTTTCTTTGCATTTTTTAAAAGAAAAAAAAAAATCCTTACATTCATTTACGTTTTTACTAAAAAAATTCAGTAAAAAATCAATACTTTGTTAAAAGCTTCTATCCATGACAGTGTACCCACAGCTGGTGGAATGCTCCTTAGGTAACTCAGACTGAAAGACAGAAGTCTGTCTTGAGGAATGGAATTTTCAAAGGTTCATGGATTTGACCCTGAATCTCTTTACCCAGTAGTGTGAAGGGCAGAGTGTGACTGTGCTCCCTTAGGAACAGAGTCGGCTTAATTGCATTTTTTTTTTAATCTGTTTTATCAGGTGTATATTCAAAATCCAGGGCTTTGCTAGCGACTGTAGAGAACAGTACTCCAGAATTCATCACCAAAAAGCCCATTTAAATGGACAGGGACACACAGAAGGCTCTGAGCAGCGTAGCTGGCTGATAAAAGTTAATGACAGTGGCTTATTTTGCCTGCTTGGGTTAATGGCCAACATGTTGCTGCCAGTAGGCAAATAGCTACTCTTGCAATCACAGCGTAAATTCTTGGAAATAGCTGTTAGATTTTGTACGGCTACAGGCATAAAATGGGGTTTAATACAAATACTTAAAAACCCCAATCTGGCTGCTTGTGGTAATTATAAACTGAATCACAGATTTTAAGTATCTGTAGACTGTAGCAAAGGTAATTCTGGTTTCCATACCTCAAAAACTAATTCCTTTTCTGTGTATGTGGCTGTCTTTAGGGAGAGATGAGGTTTGTTAATCTTTATGCTTAGTTTGAGTTGTGGTGAGAAATGTAGGGTACTTCTAAAGGGAAAGCTCCTTCTGGTTATCAAATCTTGCTTTGCAGTGGTTTTCAAGAGTAATATCAGAGGCAAAAATAAATTTATTAATGTGGCTAACCTGGAAAAGTCTACACTGCAAAAAATACATATAGTTCTGTTGTAGCTTTTTCACAGTTTGGCAAACCAGAGCTTAAAGTAGCTGCTGCAAATACGCATTAGAGTAAAACTGTGAAACAAACTACTGAACATTAGCACAGAAAAGTGCCTAAGCACTAGTGCAAGATACATGCCTGCTGTAGCCTCCTGTTTAGGGATGGGGCATGTGTTTTATAGCTTACCTGCAGGAAAAGATTAGCTGGGGAATCACCTAAACATTAATAAAATTTGTGAAATCTGTAATGACAACTGCAAATCACCAGCATACCCTTTGCAATTAAATTGATTTCCACCACCACCACCTTCTTGACCATTATTTTGTAAGTGCGTGGATCCCGTGTAGCTAGAAGTGGTCCACAGAGACTGGTCTGTAAATAGTTGATTGTTAATGTTTTTTTATTATGTATAGGAATATATGGATTGAGTAATTCTCTGTTGGATACACCATGGAAGAAACTTGAATATGGGAAGCAGCTTTTTACAGAGGTGGTCAAGAGAAGTCAAGACCTTACCAAAGAAGAATTGGTGCAGGAGCTTCTCACAGTGATGAATAATCAACAGCCGTAAGAACATAATGCGATATGACCATTTTAAAAGTTTCATCTATAAATTATTTTGACAGAAAATAAACTTTAGTCTTAAATTAATTGACTGAAGCTGGGTAATAAAGAGGAAAGGTAAGGCTCTTTCTCTCCAAAGAGACTGACTTCCAACAATACTGATTTTTTTTTAAGCAGCAGGAACAGTAAACATTATTACTGCAGTCTCAGTACTGATAGACTGTACACAGATTTCTCGGTGCCCTTTCCTTTAAAGATTGCCCTTCTCTTAGTAAGGGTAATAAGTGCAAAACAAGGGATTTCTAAGTTGCTTGTAAGCTTTGTGGAGGCTCACTTCAGGGTAAGGTTCAGTTTCTTCCTGCACACAGGGTAAACACTTGTTTACATGAGCAAGTTTGCATCACCAGCTGCTAGCTACTCTGTTGCTACCCAGAGTGTAGACAGAGGGTGGAGAAGCAAGGTGTTTTCAAAGTAGAGCCAGCTGCCTTCCTCAAAGTGCAGTTGTTTTAGGCTAAATGAGGGAAGGAGTTGAGGGTGTATTTGCACAATTCTGCTGTAGGTCTCTGGTCCAGGAAGTTCCAAAGAGATGAGTCTGAGTATGTAGGTAAGGTCCCTGCACTCATGACTGGCTGAGCAGTGAATCTGAGCCCATAAACTAGGTGTTTAGAAGTAAAGGAAATTTATACAATTTCAGTGTCCAGACATGGAGCAGGGTAAAGGAGGTGCTGTTGTCTAAATTTGTATCATTGCTCACCATCTGTCATGTTTTGCCTGGCTTTTACCTGACTATGGGGTGATCCGTGTTGGAGCCAAGCTGTTTCTGGTATATAGGTTCAGTTTCCTACCTTTATCAGTCAATTTTAATGCCAGTATTCATGTTTGTGGCATTTTTCAGTGGTTCAAAATAGATGTTTATGTAAGAGTGAGACATCTGAGCAGTGAGTAGTAATTGGGAAATCTACTCAGCCAACTTAATTAGTTTTTCATCTGATACCAGGTGAAGAGATTTCTCAAAAAATGTTACACTTTACCTTTTACTAGTAAAAAGACAAAGGTACAAGATACAAGTGATCTTAATGTTCAGTAATTCAGTAGGATCTTATCTGAAATAATCTGGCTATAAAATGGAAATACTTACTTACAAAAAGCAATATTTAAAAATAAGTTTGTAATATTTCCAAAGCACACTTCATATTTGTTATGAAAAGATCATTTCATCTTGAACACATGGATATGCACTAGCTTTGAACTTTCTTGAAATATCTTATTGCATATTACCTTATGATCCCTTTGTGTATGTTGCAGGAATTAAGTTGCTTACTCTTAGAATTCCCTTCTTTCCTGCTGGATACAGGATTTTGTCCTTTATCCCCTCTATTTTCTTTAGCCCCACCTTTGACTGATCTCAGGGAGGTACTGCACTCCTTCCAGTCTCTTTAAAATTGCTTAGGGTCATTGAGCTGGAGAGACCATGGAGCTCATACAGGAGCTGTCAGTGATGGGGTGCGAGATAGTAGTTGATGGTTCTCAGGGGCTCAAGTGTCCTGCTATGTGCTCTCTCTGTTACATCATGGTATGCTCCAGCCGTATGCCCACCACAGGCATCAGAAGAGCTTAGTTGCTCTGTTCACACTTATTCTTGCTTTTCCCACCCAGAGGTCCTCTTCTCCACCACAGCAACAAAGAAAATGATCCCACTTAGATGTAAAGGTCAGTCAGAGTATAACAAATTGCAGTCTCCTCCACAGCTGAGGATGAGCTCTGAAAATGAGGTTGAGTTGATCAGTCTGTTCTGTTCTGCCCTTTTTCCCAACATTCACTGCACAGCTGATAGGCTGCTGAATTATTACAGTATGATAGGTACAATTATAGATGGGTCTGTTCTAGGAGGCAGAAATAGGATTATTTCTTGGAAGATGGAAGAAGCTTAAAACTCAAACACAAAATACTGCTGCTAAATTGATAAATTACCTTGGAATCTTTACTGAAATAAGAAGCTGTACTCATGACTAGCATTTGAGAATATGTTCCGGTGATGTGAGTGGAAAGGCATAGATGTAGGGTTATTGCAGCAACCTTCGAGACCTTAGCATCTTTTCTGTGGGATGCTGATACTTGTTTAATTACAATAAACAAAACTTGACATGCTTTATAATAAATCTATGTTTCTAAACATCTTTCAAGCTTTGATAGGAATGTATGTCAAGAAACTTGGATGGTTGCAATCTCACCTTGTCACCTGATGCATCTTTGTGAATTTTATTTTGGGGCTTGTCCTGGGTGTGTTCCAGATATTCCAGATAAGATCAAAGAAAGCACAGAGGTCTTTCTTCAACACAAAAAGAACTCCCAGAGTCTAACTGGAAAGATGCTCGTTTATGTGATGGCATTAAAATATTCACAATCAAGTAATTTAATTTAAACCAAAATACTAGAAAGAGAAACAAAGAATAACAAGGAAAGTGAGAAAATTGTCAGGATATGAAAAATATTTCTTAAAGTGACACAAAAGTTCAAAAGCTTGAAAGGGGAAAGAGCTTACAAGCTGTTTTATCTTGGTTTTCCTCATACTTTAGTTTCAAACACAATTCACTTTGGGAAAGAGCTTACAAGCTGTTTTATCTTGGTTTTCCTCATACTTTAGTTTCAAACACAATTCACGCTTTTTTACTTTTTGAAAAGTGATTGGTATTTATCAACCACTCAGTCAACACAGCTTACTTTAAGAGGGATGAATGTGTTAATATTGGAAAATTCAATTATATTTTTATTACTTCTTTTTTCAGTCAATTACCAGACCCTGCGATTGAAGAGCAAGGGAAGGATTACATACGACCTGTACTGAACGAGTATGCAGCTATTTGTGTTCGTTGCCCAGGTTATGGAACAAGGTAAGAAACCTCATAGTCAGAAATAGATGTATACTGGATCAAAGCATATCTCCAATCAAAACTATACTGCTATGTTTTAATTCTATAGTGATTGCTTTAAATTTATTTAGATATTACTCAAGTATAATTCAATGAACTATTTCATTGCTCAGTATTCTGTTGCCTTAGATTTACTACTGATGCTTAGATTTACTACTAATGAGCATTTTAAGCTCGCATGGCTCACCTTTGGTGGGGAGTGTGACATAGCTTCAGTTTTTTGAAGGCAAGATAATACAGTTCCCCAGTGTAGTAGCAGATCTGACCACCTCTAATTTTGATCTTACCAAAGATACTGCAGAATTACAGAATTTCTTTTTCAAGAGTGAGAGAATGTAATCTGCAGAGGTTTCTTTAGGCATGTCATTGTAATACATAACTGCCGTTTTCATACATTAGAAGCCTGTTACTGTTGTCCAAAACATGTATTTCCAGTTTTCCCTAACTGATGCTTCTGTTTTTACTGAAATATTCTTACTTTCTGCTCAGACTGTTGTTCTAAAGCTGCAAGACTAGAGTAATGCAATGAATATTGCATTTAATCCTTGATGGGACAAAATTATAGGTGAACCCTGTTGCTGCTGGTAGGGAATTCCTCCTCTAAAAGTCTGCCAACAGTTTTGTCAGATTGGTCTCTGGCATAATCAGCCATAGTATTTCCTCTGTAGGGATGTAAATTGTGAAGCCGAGAGCACACCCTTCTGTAAGTATTTTAAGTTGGTATTCTGAGAAAGAAACCACTGCCAAAACCAAGTATCTCTGTAAAATATATTCAAAGAACAATTTAAATATGGCTTATGAAGACTTAATTTAGCAAAGCAGCATCTTTCTTCCTTTGCTTTACAGGTTGCAGTGTAGCTATTTCAAAGGAAACAAGGATAACTCAGTAGAAATCCTGACCTCTTACTAGTGAATTAACACTATATTTCAAGTCTTCCCTGCTACTGTAATTGTATGCTCATACTTACCTTTTCCCTTAGCAACATGAATAAGTGAATAGAGGCTGTTAGTTAGGCCTCACAATATTCTTCTGAGGAAATGAAGCAGTTTTTACATGAGTGAACAACTGTGAGATGACTTGGGGAAGGCTACCACATCAGGATGGTGAAAAATTCCTACTTCTGTCAGTTGTCTGTCTGGCAGGGTACTGCAGTGTCCAAAGAGAAACCACAGCTAATACTTGATAGAGTGGCATAGATGCATGAATGGAATCTGCTTTTCATGAAAACAGATTTCTTCTTTGGAAGGTTCCTAGAGATAAAAAAGTTTCTCTGTGATCATGTATCAGTGTCCTATGATAATAATTAATGATGTTTAAATATTAATGGACAATGGAGTTGAAAGGAAAGAATGGAAGAGTGCCACTGATATGAATAACCCATCAGGGTACATGTAGGCTGTGAAGAAAAGCTAGGGTTTATGCTACTTCTGAATGGAACACTTGACACTTAAATGAAGTTTAACCTTTTATCATACTTTCTAAATTACAAGTTTCGTGTCAGCTGCTGCAAGTGCAGCAGGGAATTGGAGCAGTGGAGTGACAGAAGGGACTGAAAATGCCTGTTTGAACTTGCCAGGATGATTTCTGCCATGCTAGTGCGGTGGTGATGTGGTCAAGAGAAAAAATGAGCTGAAACCTTTGGGGATGAAAGCTGGGACTCTGCAAGTGTGTATCACAGACACAAGACTGAAGCTTCTACCCTTCTGTTGTTTCAGGACTAACACGGTCCTTCTCATTGATTCCGAAGGATGGGTTACTTTCACAGAACGCAACATGATCAGTGTAGAAGACAACCAGTGGAAAACAAGCACCTATGAATTCAAGCTGTACACTTAACTTTCCATCTGAATGGTCTGTAATAACAGCAATGAGAGAACAAGCCATTAAGCTCTAGTAAATGTTTTGTGCCAGCCTCCAGAAGCTAAAAATAGCAAGGAAATTAAAGGTTTAAATAAATTGGTAGCATACCCTATCAGGGCTCACAAATCCTTTGGATGAAACCGGAAGAAACTGTTTTGACATTAAGTAGCAACTTTCAATCAGAAATAAATGTTTCAGTATCACTTTGCCTCCAGGGCAGGGCCGTGTCTGCCCAGGATGGCATCACTGCTTTTTGTTGGGTGTTCTCACTTTTGGTTTCTAGGATGTTTTAACTAGATTCTTAAAGGTCTTTTCAGTTCTGAGGAGGAGAAACATTTGCTGCCTTTATGGTTCTACCTGAAGGTTTTATCAAATGGGTACTTCTAAGATTGTGTAACTTACACCAGTGTGTGTTGAATGTATTTTATCTTTGTAGCATTAAATGCTTTAGTAACAAACTTTTCAGCAGTGCCATGGTGCAATGTTATGCCTGGGGAGGGCAGAGCAGGGGGGGTACTTTCCATTTGTTTTCCTAGATGGTAGAGCAATAGAGCTTTTTTTTCCTAAAACCTGATTGAGAGTGGATAGGAAATTTAGTTCAGTCTGATCAGTTTTGATGAAAGACTCGTGGGAGCAGACTTGCTTATCTCTGAGTGGAATAAAATCATTTGTATTGTGCCATCTTATTTCCTGATAGTCTAATTAGCAATATCAGTTTTCTTATCTTCCCCAGCAGTCAGGTAAGTAATTCAGCAAACAGAAGCCGAATATGAAGTTTACATATCTCAGCTGTTTTGTACATGTGCAGTTTTGGCTTCATGTCTTTATTGCTTTAATATGTTAAAGCCAGTAGTGATTGCTCATAGATTTTTAGTAAAAATAGCTATTTGTTGTAAGGTGACATTATTATGGTCTTCCATTGCTGAAAAAGTTGGGTATTAAGACGCACTTCATATGTTCTGATATCTGTGAATTAAAAAGCTATTTAAATTCATGCTTTTTTTTTTTCCAATTATTCAGTGCCAGTGTAGGTGGTAGAAGATTCTAGCTAATACCAAGGTATCTTAAAGCCCTAAGTTATTTTGCTGCCATTAGTATTCTGTTATGACTTATTTTGAATGCTGAATGTAAAGTTAGTAATGCATGACTGCAGGTTTTTTTTCTCTATATATGCTGAACGTATTCTTTTTACAAGGCTCTGATTAATTATTACAAAGTAGCAAGATTTCTGCCCCCCCTCACAAAGACGTGCAACTATTCTGTAACCAAGCCCGGGTGTTTTTGTAATGGAGGCAGCAGTAAATTAGACTTGCCATTGAGGTGAAGTACTGTTAAAGGCCATTCCCAGATTTCTAATTGCCAGGAGATGCTAAAGCAGCATTTAGTCAATTATTTCCTTTGTAGCTGCATATTTAAATAGTTTCTAGATACCAGGACTCCTTGCATGGTTAGCTGGTTCAGTGCTATATAAATGGCTCTTTGACCACCTTGATTGCAAGGTGATCCATATAGTCTTCTTGGGTTGTACATGGTTACAAACTTGGAGCTTTCCAGCCTGTCTTTGGGATGTAGGAAGAAGTGCTTACCCCTCTTGTATTTTTTGATGACTGCCTAAACCATATATTAATACAAATAAAAGTTATTATGACTTTTAGATGCAGAGAAATAGCCATAGCTGTCTTCAATTTGAATTTGACAATTGCATTTTTAAAACCAAAACTCTGCTTCAATGGCTGGCTCTTACTGGGATTTTGCATAGCAAACTTCTTTATACCTTAGGAAAAAAAACCACCAGTGTGTTTGAACAAGATGTTCTCTTTGAAGACATTACCTAAATGGCAGGCATACTGTTTGCATGCTATTTCATGCTAAGAGCATTTATAAGCCTTAGTTTTTACAGTAGTCTTGTAATAATAAAAGATTATTCTTATCTTTTTAAACATAGGTAAAAGAAAAGCAAGTCAGTTTAGGTATAAAACCAAATGATGATAACGTATTTTGCTTTGCTTAAATAAAAATTCTAAATTTGGGATTTGCATTTTCCAACAAGTAAAATAAAGAACCAAAGCCTCTGATGTTCCTTTGTATTATGTCAGAATAATCAGTAAAGTGAGGTGCGGTTTTACCTTTTGAAGCTTTTGAGAGTTTTATCATTGGCTTCAGTGGAAACAGGAACAGAACTACAGTGCAGATAGCAGGAAATGGTCATATCAAATATCCGTGAAGTGCATAATTTACTGTGTTGAAATTATAGTTGTAATAAGTCCAGTGGAAAAAGTAAACTGTAGCTAAAGTATTCTATTTTTATAGAATTTTTTTTAAGAATAAAAGGGCAAATATCAGGTTTAAAGAATATGAAGGAAAAAAGTGTAAATAGGGAATGATTGCATGGCATTTTTACTAAGTTTGCTTATCTATAACATCTTCTATGTGTTAGGTTTGCAAGATTTTTGTTTCCGGTCTTTCTGTCAAAATGGTGGTGGAAGAAATTTTAAAATATCTGTAAATACTCAGCTATATTTTTTCCTTTAAGTTATTTCATAATTATTGTTTATAGGTGTATTCATAACTAGAATCAGAACAAAGTGTATCTGGTGAACAGTCCGTCACCATTAATCAACTGTGCATTTTTGCACATAGGTCTATGTAACTTTGTGTGATAAGATGAAGTAAAATCTTTCATGAGGTATTAGCAATGAAAGAGATTTAAGTGCATTTCTGGTACTTATTTAGTACTGGGGTGGGTTGTGGGGGATTTGTGTTTTGGGATATGCCAGTTATTGTTTTTTTTTAATTGCATGCTATTGCATACTTACCTTATCCAGGTAAGAAATTGAAAAGTGTTTCTTTAAAGCTAGTAGTCCAGGTTTGGGGCATTTTGCTTTTTTTTTCAGATTAGTAAAGAGATTGTATTGACTGAAATGCTTCCAGACGAAGTGTCATAGGAATCAATTCCATAATCAGTTCTCCAGCTTCTGACAACCAAAGTGCCCATCTGTTACCATCAGGTAACTTGTTCACTCACTCCCCCCCTTCTTTCCCTCCCCCTACTCCCGGAGGGACAGAGAGGAGAAATGAAACGAATGCAGTTCCCATGGGTTGAGATAAGAATAGTTTAGTAACTAAGGTATAACACAAATCACTACTGCTACCACCAATAATAACAATGATAAAGGAAATAACAAGGGAAGAGAATGCAACATCTCACCACCAGCCAACCGATAACTTGCCCCCCAGCCCAACCAAGCACCAGCCGATATCTCCTCCAACCCTGCAGACTACCAGCCCTTCTGGGTAACTCCCAGTTACCTCCTGGACATGATGTGCTGTGGTATGGAATACCTCTTTGGTCAGTTTAGGTCAGGTGTCCTGTCTGCGTTTCCTCCTGGCTTCCCCTCCTCCCTAGCAGAGCATGAGGCTCACAAAGTCCTTGGCCAAACCAAAACATCATTGTTATCAGCTCTGTTCCCAGGCCGAAAGTCAAAACACTGCACTGCACCAGCTACCAAGAAGAAGAAATGACTGCTGCTGTTGAACCCAGGACGTTATCCACTCCTTATTCCACACCATCACTTCCCTCCCAAAAGCTGTTAGCTGTTACTAGCCCCAGCTGGATATTCCAAGCACAGCAAGATCGAGTAGAAATCTTGAAGGTTCTCAAATACTTAGTGTCTGGAACCAGTATCTGGAGCATCCCTCTTGGAATCTGCCTTCTCGTTTGCAGACTGGAGTGGATCCTTCAGATCTTAATACCTGAATGTGCCAAGTCCTTAAAGGAAGAGGGACTGGTGTATTCTTGTCTATAAAATGGTAGAGCTGTCTTGGAGGTAGTTCTAGCTTTACAAGGAGTGACCTTTTCAAACTTAGTCACTTTGAGAAGACAAGCAACTGGTATTGTCATTGTTAAGGTGGCAACTCGGATGAAATCTAGGCTTGAAATAATTGCAGCAGAGATACAGTACAGATAATAGTAAGGGAAAAGCAAACCCAGTGCTTCCTTAGTGAAAAGCCTGAACCTCTCAAAATGCTACTGAAGGGCAAGAATCCAGGTTCACTGGAAGAAGCCTGGATCCTGGGCAGACCTGAGAGCCATGTTACACTAAGTTGAGGCTGTCTTGATTCTGTGCCACACCTGGACCCTAGTGGAGATGTAATTGTCTTGTCTCCCTGTTAGCAGCAGCTTCAATAAATATACTCTTAGCAGACCAGAGAATGAGTTAAGCCTTTGGAGGTCCTCAGTATGTTCGAAGCTTAACTGATATTTATTGTTATACATTGAATATACCAAAATAAATATTAAGACAAAATACTGCTAAGACCTGCACAGTTTCCATAATATCATGAGGAAGTAAGTAATTTCAAAATTAAGTGATGAAATTCTAAGCAATAATTAGGAAATAATTAAAGCATCTTACATTTCAAATTTAGCTTGAACTTAATGCATGTTTATGGCTGAGCAAACATCTCTATTTATATGGAATGCTAGCTACTAGGAATTAGTTTTATACCATTCAGATTCATGTAATAGAACATTGCTAATGTTCTTCATCTGATTAATTTTCTGCAGAGAAGTCTTGCTGATAGCATCTGAGGATTAGGAAATGGTCTTGACTTGGTGAAAATAGAATCTGTATTGTGATCATCTGGGAAGGCAATAGAATAAACTGAGAATTGCATAACCCATCAGTATTGCTTATGCTGTGAAATATAAGTTAAGGTGAACAGAGTGAAGAAAATGTTGAATACATAAAATGCATAAAGTAACTACCTCTGGAACAGCCTGTATCAAGAATTTAGGAACTGACTGAAAAAAGCAGTATCGGGTTAAAGTACTGAAATTTACTGGATCTGCATTTTGGATCATAGATGGGGGGGGGGAAATAATGTAAACTTTTATACAAAGTGGAGTAGGCAAGAATTAAAATCCAAGTCACACAACATGAATGAGGAAAAAGTAATTGCTGATTCACATGAATTTTTTATCTTTGTACTAGAAAGATAGATGGAGAAAAACATACAAACTGAAATCAGACCAGAAGTCAGAGACATGGAGGAGGCCATATTTAATTTAGCAGAGAACAGATATAATGAAGAAAATCCGTTACTTTGAAAGATGTTCTGAAGATTATCTAACAGAAACTTGCATGGAAAAGGGTATTTGCAAGGAGACAAAGATGGACAGTGGAGCTTTAAGATGTCCAAGCTACCAAAGGAATAGTTACAGGCACTCTTGAGACCTTTATTCTAAACATGAAGTTTTGTGTGTCCTGATTAAGCTACTGTTTTATATAGGTAAAATAATAATAGATTTATACATTTTACCTAAACTACTTATATCTACATATATGAAATATGTATTTACTAACTTGGTGGGGAATTTGGAATCATCACCAGAATGGAATGTCTGTTCTAATATAACTTGCATTCAACCATTCCAGAATGGTCCCTCTACATAGAGAGTTCTGTAAGGTATGTCTAGACAGTGTGTATTTTTAAAAGTGGTTGGAAGGTAAAGGTAAAATAAACAGCAAGTAGGACTGCAGAGTCACATACTTGATAATGACTTCAGGGGAGGTATTAGGTCTAACAGGTGAGTAAACCAAAATAACCCCCATATTCTGAATATCCTTCTAGAACATTCAGCATGTGTTTTATTTCCATCTAATTCTGTGATTTATCTTGTCTCTTTCTCAGCTCAGATGATTCCTTATTAAAACTGTAGTATGTACATTATTAAGTATTTGTCTCAACAGGCAAAACCTTGATTTTTTCTTAAAATGTTAGAAAACCCACATGAAGTCTTTATCCCTTTCCTGAGGGGTCTGAGCAGAAAGCAGCATGCAAAGGTGTAATCTTCTGATCATAAATAACAACAAAACACCAAACCCGAAACCACAAACCGTAACAGCAACAGATGATAAAGCTGCTACTGAAGCTATGACTGTTACACAGGTATAGGACTTGACTTCCTTTAGATTATTTCTGGATAGCATA